AATCGATTACTGTTTTTTTTTTCCCTTAGCAGATTGCAGATTAGAGGAATTTAAAGCATTAACATTTCATCCATAAGACCTAGGATGACCAAGTCCAACAGTAACGCGAATTCTTTTCATGTTTTTTTTTTTTGTATTTTTAATGGGAAGAGAATACATACACATCTTAAGTTTAGCACCGATGAATGCTAATTGTGTACTGTAAAAAGGAGCTATATCACACTTTTTCAAAAAAAGTAAAAAACATTTGCAGAAAACTGTAGATAATGGAAGAAAAATGCTTGTGTACCTAATTATACAGAAATTTATACCCAAAAATCTAAGAAATTAAATGTACGAGTTCATTAAAATTGCCCTTTTGCAAACACTACAGCAACATACATTTAAACTTAACTTTTCATTTGTTCCTAAATTTGAAAGCGTAGTCAAAAAGTAGACTACTAATAAGAATACAGAAAATTGCAGGTACCATCAACTTCTATCACAAAAAAAAAAAGACGCTGCCTATTTTATATAATGTGACACTTAAAGCGAACGCAGCACAAATATCTGTCTTTAGTTTTCCTACTTGAAAAAAAAAAGTAAATTTATTGTTGCTGGCAGGATGATATGGATGAAATAACCAGGATGAATTGAGGGGGGAAGGGGAGAAAGAGGAGCCAAGAAATCAGATACATTCAATGAGCCTTCAAACTCACTTCAGCAGTAGGGATAAATAATTTAATCAACTCAGCTTCATTTTTTTTTCCTAGCTCCCTAACGCAATAGGCAGATATTAAAAAATAAAACTTTAAAATTCATGAGCAGTTGAGTGTGGAAGAACTATCACTATACAATAAGAAATATAAAGCGATATCAATGCAAGCACTTTGTGTGTATATGCATCTGCATGTGCATTTTAACTCACACTTTTCACCATCTGAAAAGGAATTATTGGTGAAATTTATACATGGCAATTTTTTTTTTTCTTTTTTTTTTTTTTTTTTTCAACTTCATTTTGGGGGCGTGGGCGAGTACCTGCAGTCCAAGATTTTCAACACCATTTGGCTTTTTGGCTAACATAAGCACTACGTGACAAGGCACTGTAGTTTGAAAGATCTGAAATAACAAGCAGAGTTCAACAAATGCTGCTGCAGTGCCCCCTAATTAGGGGAAAATATCTAGAAAACAGTGATTTGGTAAAAGTCACCAATATCATATGGCACCATTATCATGACAAATGATCAATCATCATTTTAATGAGGTGATTTTAATCGCAATTTTCCAGAACAACTCAATATATATAAAAATAAAACTCAGTGATGAAAAGGTGTTCCTTCCTTTTATAATTTATGAAGGATACATTAATAACTACAGAGAAAAACTGACTGCAGCAAGTGGTCAGAAGCTTCGGAAATATTCATATTTTATATCATATATTGTCAGATAGATAATAATTTTTGGCATCTAAACCAAACCACCGACTTTTTGCCAAGTTAAACGACCGGGTCACCTTGGCAGTCACATTTCAGTGGTTGACTGGTGTCAGCGATGCCTAAATCCACAAATTTTCAAAGTATCAAATGTTTATTGTGCATGTGTGAAATGCAATGATGTAGTGAAGTTAACAGCAACCTTTAGTGCTCAACATCACCCAGCCAAGGCTAGGGCTAGTATTTCCCATAGCCAACCAAGATCTAATAAACACGTGTAACCTGCATTGCTCGATATCATAGGTTAATCTCAGCATTATATATTGAAAGCTCTGATTTAGGATACAAGAGGTAATTTCTATTTAAATTAATTCTGCCACATTATGAAAATTAAGACTATTGACAGCTTAAAGGTACGACCTATCTCCTTTCGCCTTTAGAAACGGGATTTACTGAGCTAAAGCCCAGGGGGCAAAAAGAAACAAAACCTCGCCCGGAACACTTCCACCTCGAGCGCGCGGCTCGGGTGCAGCTGGTGGGATGCGGAGCCGGGCTGGGGC